TTCTAATTACACACTCTTTCCCCTTTAGGGTCGACTCAGAAGGGAAGACAGTTTTTCTGTTTTTACGAAGGAAACTCTGCCTGTTCTTAGGCTGCAAACCACAGACCAGACTGACCTGGTTAATAACAGGAACAGAAATGAAGATCTAACACTGCAGTTTATAGAATGAATATCAATATTTGACTATTTGGTGTTAAACACAGGACTTTGATAGCTCCTGATACCTTATAGACTGCATTATTAAACCACAAAAATATTGTCTTTAGTTACAGTTCTTTAATAGTCATCGTTTCAACTTTTAACACTTAGCACACCCCGGTGATGACTCATTTCTGGGCACTAAACCGCGACCTTCTCGTTTAGACAAAGCGCAAACGCATTTCCCACATTAACAGAAGAAACTCGCTGTGGCTACGGACTTCCTCTTTTCTCTTTCTGCACTATTAACATCACAGCTCCTGAAAGTTTCAGCTTATGAACTACCTTAGAAACACATTTCACTCAATGTTTTTGTTTTCACTGTATCACAAAGTGACAGATATTTAACCAAACTGAGGCCTCAAAAGTCTGATGTCAGCACACCAGTGGAAGATTTATAGCAGAGTACGTATTATTTTTATAGCCTTCAATGACAGGAACCTGCAGAAACGCTTCATACTCACTGACCTCAGCTATTTCTGCACTATATACAGCATGTAAACTAGTACTTGAGTAGTAATATATATATACTAAAGTCAGGGTCAAGTCATCATTTATTTTACATCATAAATTACTATCAGTCTGGGCCACAGGTGTCGAACTCCAGGCCTCGAGGGCCGGTGTCCTGCAGGTTTTAGATGTGTCCTTGATCCAACACAGCTCATTTAAATGGCTAAATTACCTCCTCAACATGTCTTGAAGTTTTCCAGAGGCCTGGCAAGGAACTAATCATTTGATTCAGGTGTGTTGATCCAGGTTGAGATGTAAAACTTGCAGGACACCGGCCCTCGAGGTCTGGAGTTCGACACCCCTGGGGGCTATACCGACAACACCATGTACCACGTAAGCAGCAGAATCATATATTTAAACTGTATCTACATAAAAGGAAGTAAAGCTTTGCTGTAGACAGCAGAACTGAGGGAGTCAGAAATATGTTCTAACACTTCAACAAAGTGAAAATAACACTCGGCTTGAGAGAAGAAACAACACATGAGCTTCCTAAATCATCTTCTGTGTGATATTGACTCTGTGCAGCATTTATGCTGTCACCTGACCTTCATCGTTTCTCTGTTTACCTGCAGTGTCTCATTATTTCTTTCAACCTTTCACATGCTGTATTTAGGCTGTTATTTCTAATATTTACTGGGATGATAGTTACTGCATCTAGATGTAGAATTTTAAACCTGCCAATCTTCATGTTTTTTTCACAAAAAA